TATATATATTTTTATATATATATATATATATAAAAATATAAAAATAAAAATATGCAGTCAGAATGTCCCTTGTTCAAACCTATGACTTCTTCCTCTCATCCTGTCCTGCGCGGCTCTGAGAAGAGTCTGGCTCCATTGCCTCTATAGCCTCCCTCAAGGTAGTGGAAGACAGCAATTAGATCCCCCTGTCAACTTTATCTTCTCAAGGCTAGACACACAGTCCATACATATCCCATGTGGATAGTTTGGTCTGTATCAGCTCAGTTTGCCTCAGTTAATCACTTCCCACATAGGCAAGATAAATGCATCCTTCAAAAACATTCTTGATGAACTTCATAGGTAGGGTTTAAACTTCGTATACATACGTACAGACACCTAACCACTCACAGATCAATTTCAGGAGTATGAAGAAAATTTTACACTGATGAAGCATTTCTTAATTATAACACAAGTTACACTGTCCAAGACGTTTCTTCTACCAGTGATGTTTTTGCAGGGACAGCACAGAGAGCAGTCCCTCAGACAGGCATACCTGATGAGAAAGGAGAAATGGCAGAGCAGATGGGCTGCAGAAGTCGTCTAGGGAAGGATCAGGATAAAGCAGGTCACTCCAGGCCAGGCATACTCATTTCCCAGTCCCTACTCTTGGCAGGGCTGTAAATCTCACCTCTGTATTATCAAGTCTCAGTGAAACGAGACCTTTCATTGATACCAGAGGTCAGAATAAAATCTTACTTCGAAAGCAAACAGATCTAATGAATGAGCTTTCAATACTGTGGTGTCTTGCTTTGAAGAATCCTACTAAGGACAGAGACTGCACACCACAAACCTTCTGCATCTGTTCCACTGTTCTGCTACCAAAGCAAAATTTGTCTGCTGCCTCTTGGGCCAGATTTCAGATCTCTTCACCTATAGACAGTAAGCCAACAGAATTTTCTTACAGAAACTCTTAGAGGTCTAACTCTCACATACTCAATCCCACTACTGATTTACCTTGTTTCTTCACTTGTTCCAGAAGCAGGTCCTTCATGGCTGCTTCCTCTGCGATGTCAGACGGGACTTCACCTTCACTGTTCACAGCAGCCACATTGGCTCCATGACTAATTAAGTACCTACGTGAATGAGACCCATACCAACGTGTTAAACCTTGTGTGCAGGCTTCAGCGCAACTTATACAGTAAATCAAGTAGTGGAACAAAATATTTGGCTTTCTCATTCAAGTTCAATTACCAAATGAGTATCTCATTCTTATCAAATTTCTAGACTAAAAAAGTTCATTGTTAAATGCAAGGTCCCTGGTCAGCGGTTCATAGTTTTTGTTTCTCTGTAGTTATTCAAATACCCCTAGTTCTTGCACTAACCTGAGAGATTATGCTTTTTTTTTTAAAAGGAAATAACGCTTAAAAAAAAGATAAGCCAAGCCATCATCAAGTTTTTAATTTGTCTTTTTATAACTATACCAAAAGTTCATTCAAGACCAATTAGTGCTGTCTTTGGCTTGTACATCTTGTAACCAGTAAAATTCTGGGAAGTAAAAGAAGTATCTGTTTAAACACACAAATCTAGAAGGGTGAGGTAGGACAAGATACTTTTGCTTGGTTTTAAATTTATTTTCAATGCCTTTGAGAAATAGTTATCAGTATTCAAATTTTGGTAACTTTTTGGTAGCTGTGGTGGACCAAATACATAAGCATGGTATGACTGGTAAAGAATAATAATAGTTGAAGAACTCGTCTTTGGAAAGAAGAAAAACCAAACTGACAAAGGATCACCCAAAGAGCTAAGAACTGTTCCAGGAGGAGTACAACACACAGAAGATATTTTTTTGGTTAGAATATATTGCAGAGGACTATCTTGAGAAATAGTATTGTTTTCCCTTATTCTTCTAACCTATCATGCAGCCTTTATCTCAGAAAAATTATTTCACTTGGGAAACTACCATTTACATTTGCCTATTCTTTGGTTCCAGTTATTCTAGCACTCCAGGTCATATATTTGAGCAATTCTCAAACTCTCAGAGCAACTTGTTGGTGCACAACAAGTAGTCTGGTATCAATATCTTCTCCAGGACAAACAGACTATTAGTCCTTTTCGAGCATAATGAACGCTCAGATCAGATGCGGAACGTTATTTCAAACCCTGGAATCAGAAACTGTGCCAAGAAGAGTCAAATCTTTGTTGGGAGTCACTTATAGCAGGCTACTGCTTGCTTTAAACATCTACTGGACAAAACTCTGTTACATTTACTGTCTCCTTTCATACCTATTTTATGTTTGTACTCACTAGATTATCTAATCTCTCTATGGCAGGCCACAGAATTTCACCTGGTCATGTCCAAACTGAGCCCAGTATCTTGTGTTGTAAACAAAACAAAAAAATAAAAGAAGATAATGCTGCAATTTTAAGTGGGTTAAGCCACAAGCAGTTACTTTTATCTACTTTTCCATCTTTTGTCACACAGTATGGAAGAAACAGAAACTAAGATCTGAATTTGAAGAAAAAGAAACGATACTGTTTGCATATTGGTGACTGCGGAGCCCAGAACATTGCATTTCTCTCTCAGAAGTCTCCACACAACTGCAGTACTGCTCACATAGGCCATATGGTAAGAAAACGTAGTCACTTTGCAAAGCCTCAGAAGAAGGGTAAGCATTGGTGCAGTCCCCCTTTGAATTGTTTTATAGTACACCATGTATCTACTATCTGGGGCTTACACCAGAATAGCTATGTGCATGTAATTACACTAACATACGTTTTGTAGAGAGACAGAATTCTTTTCGTTAGAGGAATAAAATCCCAAATCGCTCTTAGGTAACACTTAAAATTCTACATGGGCTCCCCACTGATGGAAGTGCACAGCAAAGACAGTCAGCAGCAGCAGAGCTGTGCTTCATTACACGTCTCTCTATTAGTGTGCCTGCCTGTCAGCCATCGTGTTTCCCTTTTGCTTGGCATTTTAGCTAAAGTACCTAATGAATCATAAGTAATGGGATCAGCAAAAGGCAACCAGTTGCGGGCTCCACCTTAATCCTCCCAAATTAAAAATTCAGTGAAATGCATCTATTTTCAGCATTGCTTCCCAAGACGTTGTATAAGTCTCAGCGCATCAATCGCCTGTGTACCTGCTTCGAAGAAGACGACATGGAAGGTGTTATAAATACCCAGAATAGCCTGAAACTCACTCACTCTGCTATGTTCAGATAGCCACACGATGCCACTGCATGAAGAGGGGTCCAGCCCTCGTTATCTTGCTGGTTCACATTGGCTCCATTTTCTACAAGGAACTTCACCATGTCCAGGTTCTCATCTATACAGGCCTGAAGGAGAAGGGGAGGGGGGACATCCAGGGGAGGGAAGGATTGAAGAGAAAAGGAAGGGGGGAGGGGGGAGGAGAAAAAAGAAAGGTGTTGGTGTTAAATCAAGTGTACAACCTCCATTTGCAGTTTATTGGCAGCAGGTAATTCCTGGGCTGAATTTCCCACACTGTGAGCTAGCCCACCTTAAAACTTAAGGTAGCATGAACTTGTGACTAAAATAAATTAATTTCATAACTTTCAAAAATTAATTGTAACTCAGACAGTCCCCAGGTGGACAAACTCTAAATTTGCTCAAGCTTTACTTCTCACCAATTGATCTGTTTCCTTCCTCTCTCTCACACTGTTATCTCCCTGGAGCGAGGACACACTGTAAAAATGATATATCTGTATTAGTTTTAGGTATAGCACCAAATTCCTCTCAGCAAGGCAAGCTATGTATTTATTTAGATTACATTGTTCCCTCAAAATGCCAATGAAAACATCGTAACAATGAACTAAACGAGATACCACTAGTAGTAGGGATGAGCAGGGAAAGCGTGAGCTCAAGAAACCTGACTGAAGCAGACCATCTGCATACTGGATGTTGCCCTTTACAGATGTAACCATCGCAAAAGCAGAATTTGAGAGAAGTTAGTAACTTCTTTCTTCAGCAGTATCTATCCATTTTCCTGAGTATAACAAAGTACAACTTTCCCTGCTAGCTCTACAGACCCTGTGAGCTATTAAGAGAACGACAACCCTTTATTAGCCACTGTATTAATTCCAGAGCCTGCATTTACAGAGACCTGCTAGCTTTGAAGTTGCCAGAAGAAAACCTAGCTAGATTTTCAAGTCTCAGCAGTTCTGTTGGGTGGAATTCCACCTTCCTCAAATTCCTGGCTACAGCACGTTCTGCGTTGCATCTACAGTTCACTGGAGACTGCTATTTAAGGATGAGCTGGCAATTTAATACATATGTCCAAATGCACGTGCCTCAGCCGAGAAGCACCAAGCATGACCAGGAGGCAAAAGGACTGGCTTTCACTGCGTGTTCATCTACAGGCAGAAACCTAGTTTCCCTCATTACTAGAGAGGGAATCAACTTGGTCGAAATTCCTCTAAAATCTCAGCACTCTTATCCTTTTGCATAGCTTGATGTGGGCACATCTATCAGTCACGGCACTCAGACGATTTCCAGATGATCGTTCTTCTAAAACAAGCAACACTGACTATCCATTCCTAGCCTAGCAAATAGTGAAAATGAGGAAACTGTCTCTTTTTGGAGGGGTATTGGTCAGAGACAATCCTATATTATCTAACACGTTCATCTATGCTGCATTGCTTATTTCAAAGGAGAGGCATGCCCTACACCAGGACATCCAACTCTTGTTATTTCTACTGCAAGTGCAAATCCCAAATTAGCCTTTTACCCCACAAACACAAGTTACTCCTACATTTGCTTGGTTCACAAGTAGCCATGCAAAAGACTAGCTTTTAAATCTCTAAGGAAGCACGCTCCAGAAAACTAACTCCTACTACAGTTACTTGCCAAACACAAGAAAACACAGGGTACATCTATAGCACTAGGAAAGGATGCCCCAGGAGCAGATCCAAGCACCCAAGTCCCAACTGAGCATATGCTGAAGTGCTAGCATGTTTCCTGGCCCTGTTTTAGACTCATTTACCTTAATCTTTGCCAGAAAAGCACAAGCATGATTCTAGAAATAGTTTACTTCAGGGACTGCTCCAAACCCAGAATGGGTGAGACTGCTCCTGGGTTGGCTCCGTGCACCCTCCTCAGCCCATCAACACTCTCCCACCCTCAGGCACAAAACAGCTTCATCCTGTAAACCCAGCTCTGGGGGACTTCCCTTAGATTATTTCAGGCAGTAGAACTGGAAAAAAAAAAAACCAACAACCCAAAATAAAAGTCCTGGGGACTGAAGAGCATCACACTGAGGTTGGAGGAGTCCCAGGTCCAGGCACGATGAGGTAAGACATGGTTAGGTCTGAGCAAACTGGGTTCTACCACCAGCCTCGGGAGCAAGGTTTGTTCCTTGGTCCTCCTTTATTTAGATCATCTGCTGCAACCCCCTGCTCAAAGCAGGGCTAAATCTGATGTTAGATCAGGTTGCTCAGGGCCTGCTCCAGCCAGTTTTTACTGTCTGCAAGGATGGAGACTCCACGGCCGGTCTGGGTCCCTGTCCCGGTGCTTCACCACCCTCTCGGTGCATAATTTTTCTTACTATCTAATGAAGATTTTTCTTGCTGCAACTTATGCCTCCTGCTGCAGTAGTACAGATGTACCCTCTAAGTCTCAGCAGGTGATGAGAGCAGGAAACACAAGCCAAATATTCCTACTGTACAGGGGAACTAATGTGTGCCCAATATGCACGTGATTAATTCTAAAACATATTCTAGAAGGGATACACTCCTGATTTCCATAATCCTGCAAACTACGCAAACAAATCTGTTAGTGGCTTACGTCCATAACAATGCATTCAAATGCAGTAGGAAGGTAGAGTATGCAATGCACGTAGAGGTGGATAAGGATACACAGAAGAACATAATAATCACTTTTCAGTTCAAGGAGCAATTTTTTTGGGAATTCGAGTCTGAGCCTGCAAAACTTGGAGCTAATCTGTATTTTATTGCCACCCATATTTATTGTGATACATTTCTAGTTTTCCCCTAACACACCTCAAATAAATTACACTTACAATCTTATTGATGAGTTATTTACATTTCGACCTGGGAATACAACCATTATGTACCACTTTTTAAATAAAACTGACTTCATCTAAAAGCGTATTGCTCCGAGAATAGCCAAGAAAAGTTCACCCACGCAGTGGTTTCTTTTGAGCACAATCACTTCTGGCTGACTAAAGAATTATGGCCTCAAAGAAGAATTTTATCAGCGTGGCTCTGACAAAGCAGCGAGGTAGACATTTCATGCCCGTGCATACTTACTGCTCTGCTGTATTTAAGTATTACCTGCAGTTTGCGTGTAAATCTAAACTTAAACTGAAGAATGTCTCTATATTATGAGCTTTGTATGTATTTGATGAAGAATTATATTTATATTGTTTATCAACTAAACCACCCAAATATACCCACCACATCTGCACATGCTGGGAATCGGCCAAGAGAAAAGACCAGTTCTTGCTCAAGCCACTGGTTATACTGGACTCTAAAATTAAATATCTGTTTAGATGCATAAAAGAGCCCACCCTTCTTTTAAATTTCCGCCTGTTATTGGCCTCATTGTTCTGCTGGTCCCTGTCTCGCGTGGTTCCTATGGAACGCATGCCAGAAACAGAAAGGATAATGGGATCAAACCCCACCTGTTCCTACACAGAAATCTGCAGTAATTTGACTCGCCTGGCTTCTGAAGAGATAAAACGATGACAAAGTGACAAAGCTACATGGGTGCTGACAACAGCAGGCATTCGCTTGCTTTCCCAAGGGAACCATAACGCATTTCATGCTTGCTGTTTGCATTTGCCACAAAGAAAAAGTCAAGCGCAAAGGTGTATTAAGTCGTTAATGGAGCAGCAATGTATTCTTTAATATCTAAGAAAAATAACCCTCACTCCACCCTTCTGCAACTACGTATCATGAAAAACTGCTGTTCAAGTTATGCGATCAAGCAATGTGACACTGCTTGGCAAATATTTATTTTTGTATTAGTTAGTGACACATAAGAATAGAAATGAGCAGAGCTGAGTAACATGAAGTTTTTTTAAATGACTTGAGGCTGCGTTACCATCAGCAGGTATGACTCCTTGCCTACCTCAAATATCAAAATGCAAGATTGTTTTGCATTTTTGTAATATTACATAATACTAATTATATTGGCCAAGATTTTAAAAAGTGAGGTGGAGAGGGAGTTTCAGAAAATGACATTCGACAGACAGAGGTACTGAATAACCCCTGTTCAGTTCTGAAAAATCTCATCGTCTCATGTAAGAAACTATCAGGCATAGGATTATTTGCATAATTTTTTAGTCAGACACCCTAAAAGAATACACTGCTTGTATCTTAATATGCTATGACATATTTAACACATCTTAGAGCAATAATTATGAGGCCAACAATTGGGATAATGAGTAAAACCGGTAATTTCTAAAGATCTTCTAAACTTTAAGAACTTTAGAAAACATGTATAAAAGTTATGACAGATTAAATGGCAGCTTTTAGGGGCTGCAATGTATTTCTGTGTATACTTTTAATGTATCAACTGATTAACACTTACATGTTATCACAGAATTCATACTTGCACACACATTAATGGTATTAATAGTTTCATATACGACATCATTTTACCAAGCTATAAATTAAACAAAGAAATTCTCACTGTTTAGAAGTACTCAAGGCACACACTTGCCCACCTAAAATTTTTGAGAGCCCTGACTGCTAATATCCCTCCAGAAAATCTCTGCTGCATGTTTTACTGTGCATATCTGCCAAAATTAAGCACGGCAAAACACCACACAAAAACCCATTCACTGAGATTCAGAGGGTAAAGTTCATCTTCTGGCTAAGCAAAATGGGTTACCTGAGGTTACTGGAGGAAGGAGAAGAGGACAAAGAGGAAATAAAGGAGGACACATCTACTCCTTTTAAGTACTATTAATCCTCCAACCTTAAATTTAGGAGGGTGGATAAGTTTAGTAACCCGAGAGGATCTATCGCTATGCAAAGTTCTCCTCTTTTATTTGATACAGCATTCCTTGGGAGCACTGTAAGAACCACTACATCGGACAGCAATATTACAAAGCAGACGCCTGCCCCTCCAACCCCCAAAGGGAGGAAAGAAAGTCAAAAAAAGTTGATGGAGAAGTAACACTGCCATTTTGGTGGTAGTTATTTAATGTGAGGAAACACTCCCTCTCCTAAATTACCCTTGAAATTTGCTTTGCATAAAGAAAAATATATACACAGATAGGCTTACTTCTTTCAATTCTAGGCACTGCTAACCCTCAGCTGCTTGGTTACCCATGTAGAAGAGGCTAAAAGCAAGGTTAAC